CCTCTTCCATAAAACAGGTTTGAGAAATAAATGTTCCAATATAAAATCAATTACTCAATATAATTGACTCTTCCCTCCCTTTTCTTACATATGTCTCATATGAAATAATAACTTAGGAGTCTATTTAAGCATGGTGTAGTTTATAATCTATTAATCGAGAAGACTCAGTATCACCTGTGTGCAGCTTACAAAAAAACAAACAATTGTGAGAAACATATATTATGCAGGAACTGTATACCTTTGTTGAAAAAACAAAGCATATCTGATTTGGGAGGAAAAGCTTCTTCCCCCTAACATCTGAGTCACTACTGATGGCATAGCATAAATGATAGTGGGTATCTGAGGGTGTTTTTACTGAGAAATGTCAAACACATTCAAAACCTTACATTTGAAAACAGGTTTGCATTCCTTCTCTTAAAATGACGTTATCATTGGAAACAATAAAAGCTAATTGTTTCGATGTAGAATCTATCAATTGAATTGTTAGAGCAGAACAGAATGGTCGTATTGTAGCCTGAGTACCGTGCAGCCTTCAGTTTCACCAGGTGGAAACATTGTCCATATAATGTGAATACATGTAGAACTAGACATTAAGAGGCCCCTGACATTTAGGCCTATTTTAAAAAATAGTAGGGGCTTTTAACAGCTTGCCAACCTACAGGCATCCTCTGCATAGCAGTATGAATAGCCTTAAAAAAACAACCCACTCTGCGGTAACGAGAGTCATATTTCTGAACCAAATGCCCTAAGTTAAGCCGTTAGTCCCATCTGACTGACCCAAGGGTTGGTGCTGGTGTGACCGGGAGGCTTCCAGGTGTTCAGATGTCAAGCTTTCAGTTCATGGCTTGGTGGGGGGAGTGGCCCACGTGAGACAGTATTGTTCAGTTTGAGGAGCGGCATTGTCTCTGGAAGCAGGTAATGGTGTCCATTCTCAGACCAGACCATTAATGTCATTTCATGTAGAGCAGCCATAGCATCTCTGTGACTGCACTCAGAACTGTGTCAGAACTGGGTGATTCTTAGTGAAATCGTCCAAGGCCATAGACAGAATGGAACCACGTACCAACAAAAGGGACACAAGGTCATCAATGTCTCTCTTTACCATTGGCCTAATTGCACAACAAATTAGTGGGAAAAATGTGGAGCACTAATCCATCATGTGAAATGTTGAGTTCATCTAAATAATTCCTTATGGGTTGAAATCAAATTAACATTAGAACTAAAGTCAGTCAAAATTGGACTTTGCACGGGTCAGAATCTAAGCAATACACCATTTCCCCAGCTCTGTAATGAAAAGGATAAGAAGATTAGGTACTTTACAGGAGTGTTCCACACCCAAACATGCACACTTATCTTATTCTAGTAGAGATTAGAGGACAAGGTCTAATGTTGTGAACAAAATGATCAAGTCAAAGTTATTTTGTTTATTATATGTTATGTACCACATTTAATTTAATAATTAATCTTGAATTACTAATAACTTTAAAGAAGGCAACAATTTACAATTTGGATGAAGTGATTACTCATCCAAAGTGTGTGTGTGTGTGTGTGTGCTTATCTGCCCAAGGTTTAAAACATTTGGGACAGCACAGCAGTGAGAATGTTATGAGAACCAATCTGTTGTTTATACTAAACTCGAAGGAAGCTAGACTGGAACATTTTAAATAAATCAAAACACTTGCACATTAATTAAATACATTTGACATTTAGCTCGAGCTGGGTTCAATACTTTTCTTTATGGTATTTAAAATTGGACTCCAGTAGAACCCCTGGATTTGGCTTGCAACACAAAGTGATACTGATCTCTGTAGGACTTGGAAGTGTTATGAGTCAAAGTGCCTGTGAAAGAGAGGCCCTTGGAAAACAACATCTATTTTTTAACTGTAATTACTTATTTTAAAGAAATTGCAACATTATACTTTTAAAGAATTGCTCAATTAATTTAACACATTTATTATGCACACAATAAAAACTTCAACAAATATATTGATCCTGGCTTAACCAGCAACCTTTACTCTGTTGTTCATAAGCTCGGTTTCAGAAAACTTGTCAGTAGTTTAACAACTATTTTAATGTTAGTATCGTCTCTGGAGACCAATTGGTTGATACTAGAAATATTTTCAAGCAGTTTAATAAATAATGTTAAACTATTTTTAAAACTGTAATTGAACTTCAACTTATATTAATTACCTGATTCCAGTGGCCAGTTGGAACAGAATAATTAACACAGTTTCCATTTTGCTGCAACAGCGCAAAAGGTTTCAACAACAATTAGTATTATGTCTGAGTCTAGTTCTGCTTATCTGCTTTGTTTCGGAATGTGTTCAATACATTACGTTTTTATTCATTATTACTATACAATACATAGATTAAGAATAAATGAAACAAATAATACAACATTGACCTAAAACCAGATTTTGCAACTCTGATCTCCTCAGGCAAGTCTCTGAGGGTCTGGGGGCGCAGGACGGGCATAGGGTTTATACAAGGTCACAAAGATATCTTAACATACCAGCAATACCATCTAAGAATGGATTCTTAAAGCAATATAATCTTATTTTCTTCTTACACCTACAGCGCTCACCCTGAACAGTGTGCTTCTTGTTTACATGTTCCCCTGCACTCAGAGGCAGGACATAAAAACACTCTTTATTTTTCTCAGGTCATTTACTTTTGGTGAGATAATTAAAGTTTAGTTCATTTTACCCTGTCTATGGACTGATTCATTATTGTTACAAAACATACACAAGACGGCGGGACAAACCAATATAGACCCCCCATACAAACAATCAGACAAACAAAACATACTCGTAATAAACACCAGCGCGACAGCAAAGCTCATCCAGCTCAATTTAGTCCGGATTTTAGAGATCTTAGAGGGGGTGGGGAATTCTCTCCAGTGGGGTGTCTTCTCACGCCTCACCCTTGTATACAAGTGATTGATCGGTGCCTGAAAGCCGTCCAAGAACGATAACTAGCTTATCCTCTTGCGACAACCACTAGGCTATTTGTTTCTAGTGGCGCTGTGCCCCCCCCGATCGGAGCCCACAGACTTTTTTCCCTGCCCTTTCTCTCCAAACAACAGCTCAGTTGACTGTAGTCCGTACGACCAGCCTATATCTACTCGCCATCGAGTTCACCTCAAGGTGAAACACAGTTTGCCTATGCTTGCTTGCCACTACACACCTCTGATCAATTAGCCTATAATTTTATGTATGCACTCCTGACCGCCACCTGCTCCAGAGAGCCGTAGCGCATCGGGTGATGCACGCACTTCGCGCTGGCCCGTCTAACCATGAGAAAAGCGGTCCTAAACAACGAGTGCTTTTAGACCGTCCCGTTTGAAGGACGGCGGTGCCGTGAGTTAAAGCCTATAGGCAATAAGCTGTGACTTTCTCCCTCTCAGCCTGCACTGCTCCAGCCCCACACACACACGGTGAGGTTTCTTTTACACACACACACACAAGCCTGCAGCTGGAGCCGTGTTGTTACAGAGAGGTGATAGCAGCAAATATCTTTGGCTGCTTATTTTCAACTGCTGTGCTTAGCCACTAAGACCCTCAAAATCCGGCGATTTGTCCAATACAAATCTTTTACATTGCTTTCAATTCACACAGAAGCTCCACCTCACTGATGCTCTTTCCTTAAGGTATCTCTAAACATGAGCTGTGTATGCCTGTATGGCACTTCCGTCCCGAGCAGCACACACAGAGGAAATAAGCCAGGACTGAGTCCCCAGACACTGATTCCCTGGGTTTATCATCCCCAAATGTTCATTAACCAAAAGGAAACGCAGCCGATCAGTTTCACAGGTAATTTTAGGATACCGTCAATCACAGATTCTGATAAGGCAATGTCCAAAGTAGATTTGAAAATCACACTTACCACAATCTGAAGATCTGTTGGCATCCTGCCGACAACGCCAATTTGTAATGGAAACTTCTGTGTCGCTATGCAGTGGGAGTCACCGACTCAGGAAGGAGACACGGGAAGAGCAGTAGCTTTGATGTCAAACACATGATGGTTTATTTGGAGTTAACGGCCGGAGGATTCACATCACAAGTCCAAGAGTCAGAGGTTCTGACTTCACGGTAGAGTTGCCACGTCAATTCTGGCGAGCCTCTCTCTTGCCAGCCCATCTAACTGGTTTCGCAGAGAGTAAACAACATATTTGAGGAGATAGCCTAAACAGTGTGGGAACACAGAGCTACTTGCCTCGGACACTTATGACCTCGAAGATTTTACCTTGGAGTCCACAAATACAGAGAAGGAAGTGTCCCAGTGTACCCACAACACAGACCATCTGTATCCCAGTATTGACCGGTCACAGAATGGGAACAATAACATTATTGGCTAAGCCGCCTGTGTCCTTAAAGAAGGTAAACAGACATCAAGGTTTGTCCTGTATGTTACTAATTGGCGTCTTATGATAATTATTTCCACAACAGTGAGTTTGAGTTGAGTTACTTGAAAAACTAAAGTGAAACTTGATTTATTTTATTGTGGGGTCTGATTATTAAATGTCGTTGTTTATTTGTGAGATCCAGTGGCACAAAGAAAATGTCTACTTTGTTTGGTAGTACTAGTAGGTTAAAAAAAACACTGGTTGTTCTTGTTCCAGTCTGTTACTGTCACTTTGTTTTTGACACTTTAAAATACTACTATCCTACTAAAATGCTGTACAAATCTGATTTATTATTTAATAAAGAACATTTTTTCAAGTAATAAATAAATGTAAAAAGAAATATTTCCCCCAAAATGTCTTTTAATTTGTTTTCTTTATTTTTGAATATTGCGATAAATACCGTACCGTGGACTTGTTATCGCGATATTATCGTACTGTGAGTTTTTGGTATCGTTACATCCCTAGTTCTTACACAGATACAGTATGTATGACAACTCTCATGAATCACTTACATATTGCACCCTCTATCAACCAGTCCAAAAAAAAGAAATTAGTCCACAGAGTTTTATTCACCAATGTTTTATATATGTTCCAGGGTTACCCAGAAGATTAAGGTCCACTAATCTTCTTTGGAGTGGAGACACAGAAGCAGCTCTTGGTCTGTTACGGGATGATGTCCTCGTGGCAGATCCCGGCACCAAGTGAGACTCTGTTTCCTTCTGCTATGCTCTGTTCTTAGCTGTAGAGACTTCAGACCTTTTAAGCACTTCTATGGTCTACAGAATTAGGCTGTTGATGCATATAACAAGGATCCTTTAGTTATGTTTTATCCAGAGGAAACTTGTGAACATGTGATATTAATATATCTTTTCCCCCCAGATGCCACTACAGCAACGTTGCTTTTTCCTTATTGGCCAACATCTTGGCCCAGAAGGTGGCGGGCTCAAACTTTGAGAGATGGGTGTCAGACAACATTCTGGAGCGGCTCGGCATGGAGGACACTGGGTTCAATTTAAGTCCAGCGGTTCAGAGGCGGATGGCTGTGGGGGTGTACAGCAACGGCGAGCCAGCCCCCCTCTTCAACCTGGGCTGGTACCGAGCTGCGGGCCAGATGTTTTCCACAGCTGCTGACATGGCCAAGCTTATGATGGCCCTTCTGGGCGCAACCGGTGGGACTCTGCTCCGTCAGGACACCCTGAACACCATGCTGACCCCGGTGCTACGCTGCCACAGCGGCTACTTCGCCAACTCCACCGGCACCCCGTGGGAGATCAATGAGCAGCGGGGCTACGATGTGGTGAGGAAAGATGGGGACCTGGACGGTTACGCGGCCACCCTCTCCCTGGTGCCACGGCTCAAACTGGGGATGGTGGTTCTGATGTCCGGCGTGCGGCCTGCAGGGCCGGAGCTTCTGAGCCTGGCCTACAGTCAGCTCATTCCTGCAGTGGAGAGGGCATTCAGGGACGCTCCAAAAAAGTTAAGACCACCGCCCAACCCAGCTCCCTATGTGGGCTTTTTCACTTACAGGAATATGACTTTCTATGAGATAAAGGTGGACTCAGACGGGGTGCTGGTCATGCAGCAATTTGGACCACAGGTTGACACATCTGTGCCGTCCAAGTACAGAACTATTCGTCTAGATTACCTGCAGGATAGGGTGTTCAGGGTGGTGTTTGAGAGCCCGTACCCCGTGCAAGCTGAAGGTGAACAGCGCCTCTGTCTCGCTGGAGGCTCAGGACAGACAGCTCTTCAACTTTTACCTTTTCAACAAGAAAGGTGTGTCGCCAGGGTTTGATTCCCCAGGACTTAACACTTACAGGGTGACCAGGATAGCTGGCAGACCATTCTTCACTACATAAAGACAGGAGTTCACTTATAGCGAGGTGGACACTGAAACAGGGGTGTATGTCAAGAACAAAGGCAGTATGACACTTGCTGTTGGATCAGTGGTCATGTGACTGCAAGGTTAATGTGATTAATCTGGACTAGTATGTACATATTATTTGTGAAGTAAAAACTTCTTTGCAGCAATGTTGAGCCAATCATCAAATGAGGGAAACTGGATTCGCCTGTCAATACACTGATATTTATTGAGAGACAAACGGCCGGAGGACTAACAAAGCAACTCGCACTGTTCAATGCAAGCTGCCAAAATTAACTCTGCCCACACAAAGACGGAAGCGCTCGAACCCGGTCTCTGAGAAGGGGCGGAGCCCAGAAACGCGGGCCTTTACCCCAATCGATTACAGATGAACAGACAAAGAAACTCACTCTGAGTGGGCAGTAAACCCTTCCCCCCACACAGAGAAAGAGTAGTCACTCATGTGAAGTTTCTCAGGTCAGCTACGCATCAGACTAAAATATTCCTTTACATTATTCATTCTGCTTATAATACTAATTATATTATGAGTGTTGTCCAACTCTCCAAGAACTAGCACAAGCAAAGAGGAACTGACCACAGTACTGTAAACATGTTCCTGCAGACGTGTTTAGTTCTTGGACAATGTGACGATATCCCTTTTCAACATTTTAGTGCCTAATGTGTGACCTTGAAAGAGATAAACACAACTGAGGGGAAAGTCTTGGACTTGATTTACATCTTGAAAGGTTTTTTATAATCAGGGCTGCACATAACTGGTGCGCAGGTGCGCATGCACACCTCCGCCAACAAAAGAGCACCGTGTCATTTGAAAAAAGGCGCATTTGCGTACCAACATTGAGAGAGAGAGAGAGGGAGAGAGAGAAGAGAGAGAAGGGAAAAGAGAAAAGAGAGAGAAGAGAGGAGAGAGAAAAGAGAAGAGAGAGAGAGATACATATATTTGCGAGTTGCATATGAACCTATGATATGAACTCAGGGCCGGCCCGTAGCGATGGCGTAATAGATGTTCGCCAAGGGCGCCAGATCTGTGGAGGCGCTGCGCTGGCAGCTCTGGGAGGGAAAAAAACATTTTTGACCGTTGGGGCTCATCCTAATTTTCGGCCTTGATGTAACAATATTCACAATTAAGTAAATGTAACACCCTTTTCACCCCGGTTACACGTTTCATTTGCCTTGTACGATGGGCGCTGTAAGTGATGAAAATGGGGGATGTTGGCTTATCTGGCGCCCGCAGCTCACAGCCAAAATGCGAGGGAGAGAGGGAGGGAGCACCGGTACCGGCGCTGTTGTTATTAGAATCTGGTGCCGTGCTAGCTGCTCTAACGGATATAAGAAGAAGATGTTTCTACAATAATGTGGATGGAGAGTCCTCTCCAGTCAGACTGAGAGGCTGATACTACAGCTCAGTGAGGTAAGGACTCTGAGTGTTTAGATAGTTCACTTTAGTCTAAGTTCAAACGGTTTGGTCACAATTTATGTAAACACATATTTCCAAGGCACTCCTTTATCATTATTGGGATAAACAGGTTTGAAATCATTCCAATGTATACTATAGGACAGTAACCAAAAATATCCTTTAAAACTGGAGAGATACAAACAAATGCATAAATAAATAAATGTTAAGGTAAAATAAGATATGAATGAACAACATAAATACAATAAGTTACATTAATTTGTTATTGGCTATAGGTTATTGGTTATGTTCACATACTTATTTGATTACATCCACTTTTCTAAGATGACAACAGAGACTTTCGACCCAAAACCAGCAGCTAATCGCAGACTCAACCAGAGAGAAAGTAGTAGGCCTACATCATCAGCTACCATGTCTGACAGAGAGGAAGACAGTGAGGAGAACAGTCAGGAGGGTAGTGATGACAGCTTGTAGGATTACTGGTCGTGCTAATGTTGTCTTGTGTTCACCTCTGCATGTGTGTTCTGTGTTCACCTCTGCATGTGTGTTCAGTGCCGTGTGTCTGGCAAATAAAGTCAAGACCCCCTCAAAAGTTACGGTTTATTTCATTTTAAGGATGAGCACCAAGCAACATCTCCAGGTGCTCCTTTGAGAACCAGGGCAAAAAAGTTATGTGCACCCCTGTTTATAATGTTAATACTCAAGGAGAACATTCTATGAGCAATAAAGAGCTGCAAGATTATATTCTGAATAAACTAAAACTGTATTGACTGTTTATTAACTGTTCATGTATGTACTGTAACATGCATATTCCATTTTTTTTCAGTTAAGGTAACTAGAAAAATATCAAATGAACGGCCCTTTTTTCAGCCTGCTCCGGAATAGTGTTGCACAGTGTACCGATACTTGAAAGGTACCGCAATACCCTGCCGTTAAAAACGTTACGATTCCTCCGTTTCATTAGTATCGGTACTTTAAGAATGATGGGGAAAAGTACTCCGGTGAGAAAGCGTTGTTTTAATAAGAGCTGTGTGTGTTCAGCGCTCTGCTTCCATTCCCTGCACTTTCCGTGCCTGCAGTCCCTCCCCTCTCAAGCACGCTCTAAGTGCCTCCCCTCTCTCGTGCACGCGCTATCTGCAAGTGCCGCTGCGCCTCGGCTTGTTGACAAAAAAGACGCCAGAAGCGAAAAAGTTGTTTATAGATGATGCTTAATTGTATTTAATACAAATTCTAGTCATTTATTTTATTTATTGTTCTCATTGTTTAAAAGTTTGTGTTATGGTTATGGTGTGAAATAAAGCACCATAATTACATTTAAGACTGTTTCCCTTTTTTTAAGAAAAGTATCGAAAAATAATCGGAATCGCAATTCTTGACTTGGTATCAGTATCGAAACCAAAATGTTGGTATCATGACAACACTACTCCGGAACAGGTTATGTTCCAGTTAAGACATCAACTCAGTGAAAGCACCACCTGCTGACCAACCAGAGCTCACAGCCTGCTGACCAATCAGAGCTCACCGCCTGCTGAAGACCAATCAGAGCTCAACACCTGCTGACCAATCAGAGCTCACCGCCTGCTGACCAATCAGAGCTCTGTGTGCCGAGTTTAACACTATCAAGTCATATTACAGGATAAAGGAAATACAGTTTAAACTGCCGTGTGCAGGAAAGAGGTCCAAAAATCACCGACTGTGTGAACATTAATCGAATATCACTGCCCATCTTGAGAGCAATCTGACTATTATTACATTTGCGGCAAGCAAGCGTATTTAAATAGACTATCTGCAAGAACATAAGTAACCGCAGCAAAGTAACTCAGAGTATTGTGTTCAGTCAGCACTGTAAGTTCGCAATGCTGACGTGTCGCACTTATCATTCATATCACATCATAAATAACATCATATCACATTATCAATCACATCATACCACATCATAATATATATTTCCTTATCTGTGTCAGCTTCTCGAGCCATATACACATATACTGTATTCAGAAGTGTTATTTAAGACTTCCAGTGACGTCATGGGAGAAGCAGCAGCTTAGAAGTGGAGCTCCGCCAGACTATACACAAAAATAGAGACAACTAGTAATATAAGACGTTTTAAAAAATAAGAAAGAGCACTCCTGCATAATGAGCTCGTCAACCAGAAACAAAGCACCCAACAAACAAGATATCTCAAAGGAAAAAACCGATAAACAACGGAGACCGGCCAGCCCAGCTAGCGCTAGCTTGACAACAGATAGCAACATGTGCGAGTCGGACCGTGAAGTTACGTTGATGGGTGAGCTGGGGAAACTCCGCAAGGAAAATCAAGAGGGGCATAATCAAACAAAAATGTCTCTGGATCGACTGGAACAGACGGTGCTAGATATAAAAGTTCAAATGGGCGAACATGAAGGGAGGATTGGAAAGTTGGAGGACAGAGTCGGCATGGCCGAGGACGTAGCGGTGCGGCATCAGAGGGCGCTCCGATACCTGATCCACCGTGATATTGCCCTCTCAGCCACCTGCGACGACTTGCAGAATAGACTGAGAAGAAATAATGTGAGAATCTTTCAGGTACCAGAGGGGAGTGAGGGAGGAAACATGGCAGAATGTATTAAAGAACTGTTACACAAGGTGCTTAAAATACCATCACTAACGGATATTAAGATAGAGAGAGCACACCGCTCAGCCCCGTATACGCCACATAGAGACCCGACAGCCCCTCCAAGACACATCATCGTGAGATTTTTGGACACAGCGGTTAAAGAACTGGTGATACGACAGGCATGGAGTCAGGGACAGGTCTCCTTCCAAGATAAAAGGATATTTTTTGATCAAGATTACTCTCCCGAGTTACACAAGAAGCGGGCAAAGGTGCACGAAGTCATCAAGCAGCTAAAAAAGAAGGACATACTGGCAAGGTGTATATACCCAGCGCCACTGGCGGCACATATCAGACCCGGGCCGGGGGGCGGGGCCACATGACCGGGCCCTTTCAACCCAATAAAGCTTGACAAAAATATCGGGAGTCCGGGGTGGTAATCTGACGCTCGTGCGTAAAAAGTCGCTCAGTCAGTAAGATTACAATTTAAAACAATGTTTGAAAGAAAAGTAACTAAAGAAAAGGTGTAATATTTAAGATGTCGTTTCTCCAAAGGGTATAGAAACGAAATATAAATATATATCAGAGATAATAATGATATAACATGACATAAAGTCCAACAAACCACAAGGAGAACGAAAACATAGCCTAATAAAATGACTACATTTCTGACACACCATTCACCATGGACAGCCAGCAGCCACCATGAGAGCAGAGCAGTGTAAAATTGGCACGGCGGCCCATACATTCACGTACAAGTAGGCTACTGTACAAATTACATTTGAAGTGTACTCACCACTACTTGAAGGGTACTCGGCGAGCCTTGCGCTCCGCGAACTCGTCCACAATCCGCTGTATGTCCAATTTCTTGGCTCGGTCACTTTCGATGGACAGCAAGGCCAGTCCACTCAGTCTCTCCTGTCCCATCATGCTCCTCAAATAGTTTTTGATGAGTTTTAATTTGGAGAAAGAGCGCTCGGTGGTTGCCACGGTGACAGGAAGAGTCAGAAATAAGATGAAGGCTGTGCAAACCTCACTGAATGTAGATGTTACTGCTGGGTTGTAAACAATGATTATTTTTACCAGATCCGCGACAGATTTTAGTTTTTGTATTTGGTCCCTGAAACAGGTTCTGAAAGAAAGCAGCTGGCCAGGGAAGCTGGCGGCGATGTCCCGACTGTAGTGCTCTCTAAGCCGCTGGGCAGCTTGGTGTAAATCCTCATCCTTTGCTTGCAGTAGTGTGTTGGGGTGAATTGCCTCAAACATGTTCACAGTTGCATTTAAGCTGGTGAATCTTTGGGACAGTTGCTGGATGATTATATCGAGACATGCATTGAAAACGGTCACCCGAAAAATTCTCTCTGCATCAGTGAGGCGGCTGTCTTCAGAAAGTTCATCAAAGTGTCTCTTAACTTTCCTGGCCCTGGTTGTTTCAAACTGTGTTTGACTTCCCCATTTAGTAGCCAGGGCAAGAGTGGCGGACTTCGCCTCATCAAATTGTCCCCTATACTCCACCAAAACACTGATGGCATTTTGCAGTAGAGTAGATGCTTTGAGAATATCCGCGTCTTTTGCTTGCAGTAACTGTGAAGCACAATTTATGCTTTCCAAAATCTTGGTCTGCATGTTGACCAAAAATAGAAAGCGAAATTTGCTTATGGCATTCTTGAGTGCACTTGCTTCATTGCGCTCATCCTTTTTGTCACTGGTAAGGGATATTTTGACGAGGGCTTTTATAATGTCTCCATATCTGTGCCTTAACGCAACAAGCGCATCATGGCAAGATGACCAGCGAGTGGGACATAAGCGTTTTAATGTGATAGTTCTGCTCTCTGGCGTCATTAACTCACTGAGCAATGCCCATCGTTTGATACTGTGACCAAAAAAGTTGTAGAGCGTCTCTACAGTGTCATAGAA